TGATACCAAATGTTAGGCACGAACCGGGGGTCTAAACGAGTTGTTATTTTGAGAAGGAATTAAGGGATGATGCAGCTTGAGTTCAAGGTTCAGGAGCAGGTGATAATCGATTGTGGCCAGGTGATAATCGATTGTGGAGCTGTGCTGCTAAAACCCAGAAACTTCAGGGAAGGGAGATAGTCGATTATCAGTATATGATAATCGATTATTGGGGCTTGCAGCTTATTCCAAGGGAATTCAGGAGGGGAAGATAATCGATTATCTTTGTTGATAGTCGATTATAACGGCAGTCAGGATCCAAAATCTGGGTGGAAAATATGGCGGAGATGAAGGTGTTCTTTTGGGTGTTCTTAGTGGAAGAAAAGAGTAAGGTTAAGAGGAGAAATGGGGAGGTATGAAATGGAAGAAAAATCATGGATGGATAAACCAAGTTGGTGTTTAAGAGATATTACACACTCTTATCCTAACTTGGGGTTTGAATCTAGAATTTAATTAAGATATGACACACTTAATCAAATATCTAGAACCTAAAACTTACACTTAAGATAACCACTCAAGATATAGAATTAGGAATTTGGCTAAAATAGCATCATACTATTTTATAAATACTCAAAGAGTAAAAGGGAGTTTTAATATTCAAAGTTTTTTTTACAATGGCCATATGCCCTGATTATATAGGCAGGGGAAGGGGGAAAACATACACTATACATTGAATGTGAATAAGAGGAAGCTTCCTAGCAACATCCACTTCAAAAGCATGGGGCACTCTCCATTCAATCCTGCCTCCTTAGTGGGATAAAATTCAGGGATGGGGCTGGTGTTGTGGGGGGGTTTTGAGCTTTGGTTTGTAGTGGTTGTTTTCCTGGGTTTTAAGGCTATTATTTGGGTAAATATGAGGGGTTGTGTTTGCTAAGAAAAGGGTTCAGGGATGGGGGGGGTATAATGGGTGGTTTTGGACTTATAGGTTTGGGTGATTTGTGAGGGAACATGGCCAGGAATGAGTGGCTAGTGGTGGGTTAGGGTTTTGGCTCTTTATGGGTGTTTATGTTGGGATTGTGAAGTGTATTTTGGCCAGGGGTGAATGGAATAGAGGGAGAGTTTTATTTGTTGAATAAAAGGCTTAAAAGAAGGAAAATAACAACAAACAAAAGGTTTTATTTTACACACCCTAATTTTCGGCCATGGGCTAAAATAAGTGTAGGAAAACTTTATTTTGAAAGGAATTAAATGGAAAGGAGTTTTGGGTGTTTAGGGTGGGGTTTGGCAGAGTGGGAGTTGGTTGGCAGAACCCTTAGGTCCGAAGTTATTTGGCCTCTCGGGTTGAAGGACTTGGAATTCTCATTAAAATGGATCATAATGTTTGAACGTAAGTCCTTTGGTTTTTGCGAGGGTGTGGGACATGGGGGAGGGTATGATAGGGCCAAGCCCGGGTATAACAGAAGGAATTTGGTGTCTCTGTGTGATACCATGCTTCGAGGAACGCCATGATGGTGCTGAAGTCTTTTACGAATCTCCGGTAGAAAGAGGCAAGTCCGTGAAAACTTCGAACTTGTTGCATAGAGGTGGGGATCGGCCTTTCCTTGATGGCTTGTGTCTTTTTTTCATCAACTTTTATGCCTTCATTAGAGATGAAGTGTCCCAAGAACTTCATCTCTTGAGCATAGAATTGGCTCTTTTCGAGATTCCAGAACAGCTTTTCTTCATCTAACTTCTTAATCACCAAGGTGAGGTGATTGACATGCTCCTCTTCACTTCTGTTGTATACTAGGATGTCGTCAAAGTAGACAATGACAAAATGACTGATAAAGGGCTTCAAGACTTGATTCATAAGTCTCATGAATGTGCTTGGGGCATTGGTTAATCCGAACGCATGATCAACCATTCGTATAACCCAAACTTCGTCTTGAATGCCGTCTTCCATTCATCTCCTTCAAAGATTCAAATTTGATTAAAACTGCTCCTAAGATCAATTTTTTAAAAGATCTTAGAACCATGTAGTTCATCCAACATGTCTTCCAAACGTGGGATGGGGTACCGATACTCGATAGTGATCTTGTTAATAGACCGGCTATCACAACACATACGCCACGTTCTGTTCTTCTTGGGCACCAAGAGTGCCGGGACAGCACACGGACTAAGGCAACTCATCAACTTGGCGTAGAATCTCCTTCGTTTCTTCGGGGTTCATCATATAGGCCGGCTTGTTGGGTAAGGTAGCCCCTGGGATGAGATCAATATTGTGTTGTATGTCCCGTTTGGGGGGTAGACCATGGGGAACATCTTCGGGAAATACTTGGGCATAGTCTCGCAAAATGTGCTCGACCAAGGGGTGGGGAGGTTGTAAAGGTGTGAAGGGTTCGGCTTCTCCATCTTCCAACAGGATTAAATCTTTAATACAATTGAACTCATGCTGCTAGGATTATAAGATGGTGGATATAAGGACGGGGGGTGTTCTTGTGTAGTTTTGGCCATAGAAGAGGGTGGTGGTGGTAATGGGGTTAGGGTTATCTTCCTCTTATTCATCAAGAATGAATAAGTGTTGGCGTAACCGTCATGTTGCACACGATGATCAAATAACCAAGGTCGTCCCAAAAGTATGTGACACGCATCCATAGGGATGATATCACACCATAAGTCATTCTTGTATGCTTTG